TCCTCGGTCTCCCAAGTAGCATCACCTAGGGCTCCACCCTTCCAAATCACCTTCACGAGTCGGATGGTCTTATTGCGTAGTTGTTTGTCCTTAAAGTCCTCAATTCGCTTCGGTTCGGATCTAAAGGTCAAATTCTCCCTCAATTCTACTTCTTCAGGTTCAATAACATGGGAGGGATCCGGGTTGTACTTCTTCAACTGTGATACGTGGAACACATTATGGATACCTGCAATCTGTGGAGGTAATGCAACTCTATATGCAGTAGATCCAATTCGCTCCAAGATCTCATACGGGCCCATAAATCTAGGTGTCAATTTCTTTGCCTTAATGGATCTACCAATGCCTGTCACTGGAGAAACCTTCAAAAATACATGATCTCCTACTTCAAACTCTAACGGCCGTCTCCTCTTATCAGCATAGCTCTTCTGTCGGCTCTGAGCGTTAGCAATTTTTGCTTAATCATTGCAATCTTCTGGGTGGTCTGCTCTACAATTTCTGGACCAATGATACTCCTCTCACTTAATTCTGTCCAACATAAAGGCGATCTACACTTCCTTCCATACAAGGCCTCATAAGGCGCCATCCCAATACTAGAATGATAGCTGTTATTATAAGCAAATTCAGCTAATGGCAAATGATTATCCCAACTACCTGGTAGTTCAATGGCACAAGCTCTCAACATGTCCTCCAAAGTCTGGATCGTCCTCTCTGTTTGTCCATCTGTTTGGGGGTGGTATGCGGTGCTAAAACTCAGTCTGGTACCCATAGCCTTCTGTAGCGCACCCCAAAAGTTTGAAGTGAACCTTGGGTCACGATCTGACACAATTCTAGAGGGTATACCATGAAGTCTAACTATCTCCTTAATGTATATCTCAGCAAATTTCTCTAATGTAGAGGTAAACTTGATCGCCAAAAAGTGAGCTGATTTGGTGAGTCGGTCTACTATCACCCAAATAGCATCCTTACTCGAGGGTGTTCTTGGCAGTCCAGTGATGAAATCCATAGAAATATCATCCCATTTCCACTTTGGAATATCTAACGGTTGCAGTGTTCCAGCTGGCTTCTGATGTTCTATCTTTATCTTCTGACACGTTAAACATCTAGAAACAAATTCAGTTACATCTTTCTTCATTCCTGGCCACCACCAACCTCGCTTCAAATCATGGTACATTTTAGTTATACCGGGATGAATTGTATATTTGCTCCTATGAGCTTCTTCTAAAAGGATATTCCTCAATCTTGGATCATTAGGTACACAAACTCTACCTTTATACTTCATCACTGTGTCCTCAGAGATGGTAAAATTTGGGGCTTACCTACCACTATCTCCTTCCTTATATTCCTTAAGTAGTCATCACTCTGCTGTGAGACTCTGAGATCTTCCCAGAATTTGCTCTCAAAGTCTGCTACCTGGAGTGCGGCCATTTGATGTTCAATCACATCTACTGGAACATCATGAAAACTGTTCCATAAATGATATTCATGAACCATCAAATGTGCAGCATGAATAGTCTTTCTACTTAAGGCATCAGCTACCACGTTAGCCTTACCCGGATGGTAATGTAATTCAAAGTCATAATCCTTTAGAAATTCCATCCATCGTCGCTGCCTCATATTAAGCTCTTTTTGATCAAATAAATACTTCAGGCTCTTATGGTCACTGAAGATTTGAAACTTAGATCCATACAAGTGTCTCCATATCTTCAGAGCAAACACAACTGCAGCTAACTCCAAATCATGAGTAGGGTAATTTTCCTCGTGTAGTCTCAACTGTCTGGAGGAATAGGCAACCACTCGGTCATTTTGCATCAAAACACATCCTAAACCCTTTAAAGAAGCATCAGTGTACAGAGTGTACGGCACCACAGGGTTAGGAATAGTCAATACTGGAGTAGTGGTTAACCTCTTTTTCAATTCTTGGAAAGCAGCTTCACATTTGTCAGTCCAAATAAATGGGGCATCCTTCTTAGTCAGCTTAGTTAAGGGCATCGCAATTTGCGAAAATCCCTTAATAAAGCGACGATAATAACCTGCTAAACCTAAAAAGCTTCGTATCTCTGTAACAGATTTTGGCTGTTCCCACTTCATCACTGCATCAATCTTGCTAGGATCCACCGCAACTCCGTCTCTGGACACAACATGGCCCAAAAACTTTACTTCTTGGAGCCAAAATTTACACTTGTTTAATTTGGCATAAAGCTTATGTTCCCTCAAAACTTGCAAGACGATTCTTAAATGTTCACCATGAGCCTCCTCATCCTTTGAATAAATAAGAATGTCATCAATAAACACTACTACAAACTTATCTAAATAGGGTCGAAAGATCCTATTCATGTAATCCATGAATACCGCAGGAGCATTCGTAAGTCCAAATGGCATCACCATGAATTCATAATGCCCATATCTCGTCCGAAATGCTGTCTTAGGTATATCCTCTGCTCTCACTCTCAATTGGTGGTACCCTGACCTTAAGTCAATCTTTGAGAAAACTGCGGATCCCACAAGCTGATCCAGCAAATCATCGATTCTCGGAAGTGGATATTTGTTCTTGATGGTTACTTTGTTCAATTGTCTATAATCAATGCACAATCGGAGGCTTCCGTCCTTCTTCTTTACAAAAAGGACTGGAGATCCCCAAGGTGAAACACTCGGTCTGATGAAACCCTTCTCAAGTAGCTCTTTAATTTGCTTTTTCAGTTCCGCTAACTCTGAAGGGGACATCCGATAAGGAGCCTTAGAAATTGGCCCTGTACCGGGTACCAATTCAATTGAGAACTCTACCTCGCGCTTTGGGGGTAAACCGGAGACTTCGTCTGGAAATACATCCGTAAATTCTTTGACAATTGGGATATTCTTCACGCCTTCATCAATCTCAGCTTGGATAGAGAAGAAAACCATGTAGGCCTGGCAACCCTTCTTCATACATCTATCAACTTGCGCCGCCGACAAGAAAACATGATCTTGAGTCTCGACTGGGGTCACCGATAAAGAAGATAAAGACACACTCCTCTCTCTACAATCTAGGATAGCACCATTTGCAGCCATCCAATTCATTCCCACAATTACATCCATACCTCTCAGTGGTAGGATAATTAAGTCCATAGTTGTTTTCCTATTTTTAAACTCGACTACTAGGTTAAGGCATGCCTTAGCAGTCCTTACAGATTCTCCCGCAGGAGTAGACACATTCATATCAAAAGGTAAAATACACACAGGCAAATCAAGGTCCTTTACACAAGTTTCAGAAATAAAAGAGTGTGTAGCACCCGAATCAAATAGTGCAACAATATCATGATGAAGGATTTTGATGTTACCTCTAATGGCATCTGGGGAGTTCATGGTGTCCTGAGTAAGAGCAAACACACGGCCAGAGACAGCAGGATGTTGGGAAGGGTTCTTCATATTTAAGCCCTGGTTGTCCCCACAAAACTTTGCAATGTGACCGGGTTTCCCACAAATGTAACAGACCCAACACTGTCCGAAATGACGACGCCCGCATTTAGTGCACTGTTGAGAGCTCGCTGTACTCAGGGCAGGTGTAGATACTGTTGGGCTCCTCTGTGACCCGTGATAACTACTATGATAGCTCCTCTGTTCTTGGCCCCTTTGAAATGGACCCTTCTGCCTTCCTTGGTTCCATGAGCTACTCGAACCCTGATGGTTTTTCTTCATAATGCCTCCGGTGGGTCGAGGGTAGGTTGGGGGTCTACTATATGAATAACCCCTCTTCTCTCTCTCGACCTCCTTCTTACTGCGAGCTACTACTTGTAGTTTTATGCACATTTTATCATAATCTCGGATATCTAGATGAGCTAATTGCTCCCTCAATTCTGGTCTAGCCTTCTCCAATAAGCGCTTAGCCTTCCATTCGGAATCATCCTTATACTGCAGGTACGTGGAGTATCTAGATAACTCCTGAAACTTAGCAATGAATGTGTCCTCATCGAGGTTCCCTTGCTTAAAAGCATGGAATTCCGTTTCCTTCTCAGACCTTAACTCTGATGGAAAGTAATGCCTGAATAATTTTTCCTTGAATTCCTCCCAGGAGAGTGTAGAATCATCCCTGGGCCCTGCTGTCTCCCACCAATCTCTTGCTCCTTTCACTAGGAGCACTAATGCTACTTGTACTTTTTGATTGCTGGTGCATGTGACTACTCGAAAGATGGATTCGAGTCTCTTTACCCATTCCTCTACCACGGATGGTTTAAGGTTACCATCAAACGTAGGAGGGTTAAACTTCCTAACAGTTTTCCACACATCAGTAATGGTCGGTGGGGCTCTCTGTTCCTCCTGCCTAATTTCCTTCCTTCTAGACTCATGATCTCTCGGAGTGGCAGGATGTGAGGAACTGCCTTCCTCCACATGACTCTCAACATGAGCCCTATCTCCATTTTCAGTTACCTTTTGCCTCTTTAGCTCCGTCAACTCTTGTTCGTATCCTTGAACCTTGTCTGTTAATGTTTTTACAAGCATTCTTAATTCCGCCAAGTCAGGCTCCTCATTTGGCAGTGGCGGTGGTAGGTGCTCAAGTTGGAATCCTGAGTTACCACGAGTAACAGGCATTTTCTCTCCCCTCCTAAAGGATACAAGATATAAATAATAAAATTAGCCTAGCTATATCATGGCCATACAATGAGAAGCACCATAACAATGTATATTGCCAACCGACTATATGCTCTGATACCAATATGTAACACCCTCAAATTTACAAACCGATTTTTCACAAATTATTAATTCAACAAATCATTTTTTTTTCATTGAACCCTTATCATACCCTTATCATAGTAGAAAAATTTCTACCATGATACATCCAAGACAATATACCACAGGTCTTAAAATATCTCAAAAAGCAATTAGAACCATGAGGGACAGACATGATCCTCATAGCATGTTATTTAAATTAGGTCATGAATCAAAAGGGACAGACATAATCCTCTTGGACATATAAATGCATTTAATAAAAAGGATTAGAGTTTACATGCTCCATAGACAAGATATGTCCTAAGTTGGCACAAGATACATTGTATAATCCAAAATAAGAGGCAACGTAAAAGATGGTGTCTCATACACCATAATTACACCTCTAGTGCTTTCTCGGCCGGATTCGCTCCTGTAAAAATATTAACCACGGGGAATGAGACTTAAAAGTCCCAGTAACCAAAAATTAATATGTAATGATGCATGCGGATGTAACTAATCATGCGATTGCTAAGTGGGCACACAAAACATTTAACCAAACAATATTTCAAACAAACCGAACAAGTATTTAATTGCATGACTGCACCTTATCTCCTCCTTTCACCATGCTCGGACGCCAAATCACCCAGCCAAAGGTGAGTTGGACCAAGCGACACGCCACTCATTGGGTCCAATGAGGGCTTACCACGTGGTAATAATTAACCGAACAGAAATTCCCATTAACACCATACATTAAAATACCCTGACAAGTCATGCATCATTCAAATATCCAAACAGGAATATATCCGAACAATAATATCTCATCATGATAAATAAAAAATAAATTTTTAACCCACTTGGCAATAATTTCAAACAAGTATATACAGTATTTATTTTCAATAATTCATAATTTTTCCAAACAACAAAACAACACATAACCATTCACAAACACACTCATCACAACACATTAATAATGGTTACCTTGTGTCTTGAATAACAAGTTCCCCTTCACAACTCCTTTTTCACCACTATCTTTGTCAATATAATCTACATAATTATTTCACAATACTATATATTAATTTTACATTAAAATAAATAACTCTAATTTAAAGAGTTAGAAAGTCTTAGATCTATAATCCATATTAATACTAATTTAAGATTTATGCCTCATTTAACTTTCTAAATTCTTTTCTAAAATTCTCGTACCCTAATAAACTATTTTTTTTATCCTCAAATCACTTCTAGTATCACAATTTCATCATTCTATATTCTAAAAATTCGTTCAAAAATAAATTAAAAATTTTAGAATTATCCTGAAACCTCAAATCACCTTTCTATAACCTCAAAAATACCTATTCATACTTAAATAAATATTTAATAATCAGATATTTATCCCTACATCTCAGATTCCACATAAATTCAACCATATAGATCTAGATTTTAACTCAAAAATTCTTAAACATGAGTTTCAACCTCAAGAAAATATTCTATAATATTTATTATATCCCTAAGAGTTTTAACCTATATTTTAATCTATCATATCATCAGATTAACTATCCTATAAAAAAATCCTAATCAAAATATTTACTCTATCCTACAAAATAATCATATCACTAGAAAGCTAATATTATTTAGAAAATAACTATAAAATTAATCTTGTAATTAAATAAATTTTTAAATGCTAATCTAAACAGGAAAGTTAGAACATACCTGAAGAAAAAGAAAATAATCCTCCCTTGCGAGAAAACGCCGAGCAACGTGAGAGGAAGAGAGAAAAATAATATAAAAATAGGATTGTGAATCCCAAAATTATATTAAAAAAAACTATAGGTTTGAATTTAATTATTCAAACCTTTGGGCCCAAAGTTGCAATTTTCTCTAAATTGCATCTTAGCCTCTCATGCTTCCTAATGCACACACCCCCTCCTTTTTATACATGAAGGCACCTCTTCTCTTCCCTCATCTAACCAATGTGGGACTTAGAAACAACAACCTTCCACCCCCCCTTTTTTTTTGTTCCTTCTACCTTCTCTTTTTTTTTTAACACACACATAAAAAAAATTATTTATGTATTATATCTTAACTAAATATTGCTTATGTGGTTTTAAATTTAAATTTTTAAATTCATAATTAAATACCTAATCATAATATTATTTCTAAATAACCTCAAATAATATAAATTCCTATTATTATCATTTTTTTCCTCAAAACCTAAATTCCACAATTTCTTTATTATATAAAAATCAGGATGTTACACCTAAACCATATTTATTAGACTAAAGACTAACAATACAACACAACATATACACATATATACACCATTATTTCACATTTTATCCCTTAACCCTTTTAGTATGAAAAATAGAAGGGAGGGATTTTAGCATTATATTTTATCAAAAATCATCCATATCATGTTTAAAACAATCTTATTACACTTGCACCAATATTTTGACACTATCAATATTTATAACTTATCATAAACAACATCTCAGGGCCCAAAATACATTTCAGACATCACAAGCAACTATATAGTGCAAGTATAAATAAAATGCATCTTAATTAGCAATATTCAAACTTTAACATGCAATAAATGAATTAAAGAGGCATTGCAATAGGAATACTCATATTCTTAAGCCTCCAGAGCCTTTTTGCTTTCTGTACCAGAGCTAAAGCTTGTGAAATGTTAAAATAAAAGGGTAAGTCTAACCACTCAATAACCACGGTAAGCCTACCCTATGTAGTTACATATCAAACTTAAATAACTATGTGACACGTTATATAAACATAGCATGATCAAACAATCCTTATACCTTTCTTATTTTATCCAACTAAAACTGTGGGTTATACTATTAAATAGGGCTCCGTCTATATGATTGAACTATCCAAACTCACCCATTATGAGATGTGATCCAACCAAAGATTATAAGACTTACTCTTGAACCACAGCTTCCCCCACTCTAAAATCTCTAAGGTGTCGTTTGCCCTAAGTTAACGTCTTCGATAAACAGGTGAAGATAGCAAGGTTTTGGTCCCTCGACAAATTATGGGACAGCTTCTCGACAAACTATGGGACACGATTATACCCTCGCGTACTGAAAGGCAATCAAAAATACCATATGGATGTTAATTAATCCTATCTCTAGGCAAACTTCTATCAAATGATTATGCTATGTATGATGCTCACTCATTTTCACAATTTCATTTATTCATTATTATTTTATTGAGTTCACGATAATACGCTATCCAAATAAACATCCATATTTTTTTCACAACCATTTTTCACTTTATCAAATCATCAATTTCTTCATCATTACACAATTATCACATTACATACATCACCTTTCTTATCCCAAAACCAACACCTATTCATAGTTTTAAAAATCATTTAGACATCAATTGTATATTTTAATTTTGAAAAAAACATTACATATTCACAATTCAATCAATCATCAAGGTTTATGACATGATTCGTGTTCACAATTAAGTCATACATGTCAATACACACATTTTCACAATAAACCTTCAATTCACAAACAACTACCCAAGAAAGGGTTCTCCTGATTATCTTAAACGTTGAGAGGTCAAAGGTTTATCCTTAATAATTAGCTTCTAAGTTTGATTCCCAAGTCAAATATAGTGCCCAAACGCTTAATCCACAATTAATAAATTTTAAGCTCATTAACATTGTCAAGAACACATTTTTACTTTTAAAATACCTAACACTCTTATTGCTCAACAATAGGCTTACCCATTAGGTCTATTAACTCTATTTAACTCTTGATATCATTAACGAGCTATTAAACTATCATTAATGCATTACAACTCCTCCAACACTCTCATTAATGCCATTTTTAGATATTTGTGATATTTACCTACCAACAACTTTTAAAATCATTAACACTAGGTTTAAATACTCTTTAAAATCATTAATACTATATTTAAATACTCTAAACCACTCCCATTAACTCCATCTAACTCAATAAATTTGGACCCATAACTTATATGGATCAAAAATCATCTCCCATTATGGAGAAGAAAGGGAGATTAGGGCTTATGAAACTTACCTCAAGTAGTTACTAACTCCAAAATGCTCTAAAACTATCAATGTGGCAAACCCTAAAAAAGGACTGTCGCTTACTCTTCATTTCTTCCCTTTCTCCTTCTGATTTTCTATTTATTTATAAGGCTGTTTATCAAAAATTTTGGCAGTACGCCATGGGCAAGGCACAGAGAAGCTCTTCCTTCTTCATTGCTACCTGTGTGCCATGGCAGATGTGCTACACGCTGTGGCATATGGCACAGAGAAAATCCTTCACGTTTTTCTCCTTCTCTAATATCAGGGTGGCCCGTCTTCACTTTAAACTCCATAATTAGAGTTGAAATCACAACTGATTACATTTATTAGACCTCTCTAGCCACACACCACATCAAATCACTCAATTATCATAATTAAACTTGATTAATTTCTTAGTAATTTAAGGATTAAAATTTGGGATGTTATAGGTGTCAGCTCAAATATTGAGCAATTACGTAGTTTCATAATTAAAATTAATTACAGTTAGGACCCTAGGGATTATAGTGTTAAATTAAAATTCGTTGGTTCTCAACTACAAATATATTTCTCTTAGGGTCCTTAGTTGTGATTTTTCCAAAATTAATTGTTAGTGTAGCTGTTATCCTGCACCACTTATTCACTTGATCCATTTAATATGATAAATTTTTTTTTGTTAAAGTTACCATGTAATTTAAAAATAAAAATAAAATAAAGGACATTTGTGATTTTAAACTTTTTTTTTGGCTCAATCTTCCTTTTCAACATGTCAAAATGATATAATATAGTCTCTATCTTGAACGAATGTTAACTTTGATCGTAAGCTGATCAAAATATTACTTAAAAGGACCTAAAAAATTATAGAAAAGGACTAAAAAATTATAGCAAAGTTATTGATTTTATGATAGGATCATGTTTTGTAATTTTTAATCCTTTGTTATAATCTTTGATATCATTTTCTATAATTTTTTAAATTGTGGAGACAATATTGCTTCATTTTAAAATTTTAAAGGGAAACATTGCACAAAAAATGATTTTAAAATTCCAGATACTTATAGATTTTAAAAGATAAATTTGCTATTTAACCCTAACATCAAACAATAAAAATGTACTAAATTCATTTTCTTTATTTTTTAACCTTTTAGTTTATTTTAAAAAAAATGTAAAAAAGGAAAGAGAACATTATTTCTTATAGTTTTATCAGGTTTTGCTCTTAGTCTCTATAATTTTTTCAATATTTTTAGTTCTTATAGGGATTAAAAGTACTAAAAAATTAAAACTATAGAGACTTGAAAAATAAATATCATCCAATCTTTTTAAAATTATAAGAATTAAAAATACTTAAAAAATTTTAAAAATTAAAAACATAATTCAAAAAAATATAGAAACCAATAATTATATTTTCTTAAAAAAATAGAGAAAGAGAAAAGAAATGGGAACAAACAATTTTTGGTATCGTAAGGTGTTACTCGAGAGAATCATGGAAGGCGGAGGAGAATAAGGGTAAAAATAGAGTAGATAGAGGTAAGTTTTGTTGAAATAGGCATGAATTTGTGTGGTAAGTCAGAGACCTAAGCCTGACATAAATTCTTTATAAGATTTTTCTCATAACTTAGACTTAAGCCTATCTAAAGCCTGACTTGATTTAAAAGTCTACTTAAAAGTAAAACTTTTTAAATAATTTTATATTTTAATTTTAAATGTTTCAAATATATGGAGTGTAGAGAATTTTTTATGGTTAAGGTAAGAAGGAAAAGATGACACATTAAATTAGGATGTGAGTTAAAAAAAGAGTAATTAAAGACAAATTAAAGGAAAATAGGCTTGAAATCAAGAGTGCAGTGTGCAGGATAAAGTAGTAGAAAGGAGACTGAAGAAATTAATTAGAAGAATGTTACAATTAAAGAGGTGATTAATGAAGGTGAATGACAGGGGAATAATGAGGTTAATAAAGTGGGGTGGCGAATGACTGTAGTACTCTTTCAGGTTGAGATGGGAACAAAAATAGAGAAACGTACAGTGAGGAAAACGACGCAGCTCATGGATGCAAAATGGCTTTATTATGATGCATTAATAAGCATCCCAACCAACCCTTATCCCTTTACTCTCCTATTTATTTTTGCATTTATTCCTAATTTTAATTCCCCACTCTCCTCCATCATATCGCTTCTTTATACGTTCCACCAACTTCATTCTCACTACTTCATTTGTTCCTAATTTTAATGCATTTTTTTATAAAAAATAGTGAAATTATTTATAAATTAGTGAAAAAACAATATCTCCCCACCTTACAAGAACGACATCTTTACTCCTTAATATATTTGGAATGAAAATATTTCTTTTAAATTATATGTCGTGTTCTTGTTGAATTTGATTTTAAATAACTTACTCCTTTGATCCTATTTATAAAATATAAAAAGAAAAAAAAATTAATTCTATTTATAGAACACTTGTTAATTTTCAAGGCTTCTTTTTGTATTTTTACTTTTATTAAATGCCTTAAATAAAAATATTAATAATGAGATTTAAGAATATTATTAAGAGTAAAGATAGAAACTTGTTAAATTTTTAGACAAAATTAATAAAATTTAAGATTTCTTTGATTTCAGTAAAATATGCTAGAAGTAGTTTATAAATAAAATTAAAGAGAACATTTTACTAGAGATTCTCTAAAATAAATTGAATACAAGAGAACGTGGCTCAACTCCTTGTGTTAATTTTGTGCCTAAACATGCTTTCAAATTTTTTTATTGCATATATCCTTTTATTATAGACAATATCATTTCTTTTTTGATTCAGTGCCTCATTATCAAATGAAATTTAAGAATATTACTACCTCTCATTTAAACTAATCTAAACTCTCACTGTGTGGAACCATTATTATCAATGATGATTTTACAAGTACTGCAAGAATGCTTTTGCGTATTTATTTAATGCAACCACTTATCTTAAAACTCAAATTCAAGATTACAAGATAAGTTGATCCAACTATGTCAATCAGTTGAACTAAACTTCCCTTATTTAGACAATCTCATTTCAAACAGGATTGGGATATTGAATGTAAATATTTATTTTAACAAGGAACATTCACATATTTTAATAGCTATATGTGTGTGTATCTCACATTTTTAATTTGTCTAAATTACAGTATTTTCTTCGTCTCTATATATAAGATGTTCTTAATTAAATCTTGCATATTAATAAAAGTTTGTTATTTAGTTAAAATTACATTAAATCACAATCATTTTTCAATTTTACCCCTAATAATATCAATTAATATCATAGAAGTGGTGTGTAAAGCACACAATTAATATCTCTTTTCCTTTTGAAAATAAGGATAAAATTGTCTAATTATTTAAAAATACCATGACACCTCTTATATTTAAGAATAAAATAAGTTTATAAAAAAAATTTATATATAGGAATTGAGGGAGTATCTCAATCGATACAGTCCACTATATCACAAAAAATGAATTAATTTATCTGTTTCGTGTCACATTAGAATTCCATCTCAAGATTACAAGATAACTACAATTCCATTCCTTCATTGCTATGATAGATCGATAGATCGATAGATCATCCACATTGGAATAAGTAAAAGTTTTTTTAAAAAAAGTTTTTTTTTTAAATTATTATTGTTTATGCCCAGCAAAGAACGTGGAAGATGGGATAGGCTGTGGTGACATGCTTGAGAAATCCTGAAAGCGGCTTCAAAAAATCCAAACCAGTTGCATATTTTAAGATGGGTATACTTCCCTTATTGAGCATTTATGTTATTTATATAATGACACATGCACAGACACACACACACACAGTGTGTGTGTAAAGAGAATTTAGAAAAATGACAAAAAGCATGTTGAAAGTTTGTCCGAGCAAATGAGCTTTGATATAAAATTCAAAAGGATTTGAATTTGATTCTTTCGTTTTGGCCAACCAAGGAGCAAGATCCAAACTAAAAGAGGAAAGTACATGGACTCTTATAAAAAAAAAAAAATCCGATTGTTGACACACATGCATGAACTGAACACTAAATAAACAAGAGACGATGATGAAACTTAAAAGCTTGAATATTCCCAACAACATTAGAATAATCAAAGTAAATAATTAAGAAAGAATAAGCGGAGTAAGGTGGAATGATGAAATTAGCATGTGACATCGAATCTTTGAGGCACAAAACAGTCACAACAACTTTTGAAGAAAATGTATGTTGTGACTTTGAGGCTTGACACACCTCTCCCATTATCTAATATTTGTTGCCATCATCATTAACTTGTGTGTTTACCCTGTGGCTGGCACTACTCTCGAGTCCACAAATTCCCCTCATATTCTTTTTAAATTTTAACCCCCTTGTCTTTTTAGCCTAAAATATAATTTTTTAATAATAATTCACATGTACTATTTATAAGTAATTTTTAACATGCTTTATAAATATCAAGGAAAACTTTTAAAACTCATTAATTCTATATTAAAATTTAATAAGTTCTCAACTTTACTCATATTAAATATACATATTTCAATAACATGTTTTGTCTCTCCAAAATTCAATAGAGGGTAAAAGAGAAAATTTGTAAAGAAAATTTAATGACGTGACTTATAAATAAGATTAAAATTTTTTTCTCTCTACTTTATAAATGAGACTAAAAGGAGTATCAATAAAATTCATATTCTAATAAAAATAAGTATATATTAGGCTTTTAATTTATGATGAGTGAAAAAAATCATAAATATATAGACACAAGAATTCAAATTAATAAATATAAGAGATAAAATAAAAAAATTTATAAATACTAAGTTACTCATATTTTAAATAAAGATTAGTGAAGAAAAATGCTTATATTTTGAACCTAATGGAGTACTAATCTAATCTGTCTTTTTTGTAAATAATTAATTTCTTAAAATAATATTCATTCTCAAATCAATTTGATGGCAAGCATTTGAAAATATGATAAAAAAGTGATAATGTTATATTGGGATTAATGAAAGATTTTTATTTGAATCAATTCCTCAAGGTAAATATAGAAAAATCTATAGATTTAAATTTGAATCTATTTCTTCTTATTAATTTTTTATAATTTTAATTTTTTTATACGTTAATTATTTAAAATTTTAAATGCCTCTACCACTCTATCACTCTCTCCTCTCTTTCTTTTTCTTGTTCTTGTCTCCCGTCAATCCAAACAACATAAATAAGTTTGTTATTGTTAATTTTTTGTTTTTACTTTGAATCAAAATTCATTTTTTCTTTCTTTTGAATTTTTTATATTATTTAAATAAATAATTTTAAATATAGAAAATAAAATTTAAAAATTAAAATTAAAATCCATGGATCCAGAGTTCACTTACAAGAAATATAGATGTATGTCAACTACAGAGGCATGCTCAAGAACTTTGGGTCTAGTCGTGCTCTTATCATCGACGCAAATGAACCCACCATGTTATGCGAACAATCCTTTAAATATTAAAACCGCACAGTTCACTGACTTTTTTTATGACTAATGAAATGTATCCACTGCTTCCCACTTTTACTGACACCAACTTTGTCAGAGTTTAAGGGTCTTTTTTATTTTATTTTATTTTATTTTAAAAAAAGAAATTCCTTTTGGAAAGCAATCGATCAAAAATTGGGCCTCCAATTTTAACTTTTGCTTTAGTTTCCTCACACCAATTCATGCAGCACAAAGCAAATTCTCTGTTAAATGATAAATCCACTCGACTGATATTGCTTGTCATGATTTTAGAGTCAGTTGTACAGTTGGGGAATAAATAACCATTGGGCATTGGCTATCTTAAAAAAAAAATTGTTTATTCATGTGGCCCCACTGAAGCAAAAAGTACAGTGTTTAATGCAGAATCTGCTAAATGAAAACATATCCAATTGCAACATGATTCATTGAATTAAATCATGTCAAATAATTTTAAACTTTTTGAAAAAGTTATTACAGATGATTTATTTGAGATATATTTCAAAGTGAGTCAAAATTTGTTGTCTTTGGTCTCTGGATATGTGAGAAAGTTATTTAAAAGTGAATCCTAATATTATTTCAGGATGAGGGGTCGTTTAATTCATGGCAGGGATTGACCTGTATTATAACTAATACACATTCATATCATAGGTTATTGCGTTGGTAAAGTTTCCAAAAAAAGTCTCAAGTCAAATTCTCATTTTCCTTTTCTTAATTTTAATTTCCAATTTCTGTTTTGATGTAAATCATGTGGTTCAGCCGCTGGCCGGTATTATTATTGGGTGATTTTCTAATCAACCTGGGGAAAAGAGAAATTCCACTTTGGTTTGTCAATCATGTTGAGTCGTTCATCAATCTTAGCTGGAGGGAAAGTGCTTGTACTTGTACTTTTTCCCAAATGGAAAAAAACTGAAGTGGCATTTTCAAGAAATTTTAGGTGAAAACCATGTGTTTTGAGTAAACTAAGATGCGTTCTGAGTAACGCAGAAAGTCGGAGGAGGGCAGGCGCTAGCAGAAGATGATGGGGCGAATTCAAAGCAGTGTTTGAAAGTATTTTTGTGGTTTTTTGTAGAAATTGCTTTTTAAAACAAATAATAATAAAAATAATTATTTTTTTCATTTCCTCTTGTTTTTTAAAATAATAATCTCATAACACCTAAAAAATATTTTTATTTATCTATTTTTTTAAAATAATATTTTATCTTTTTTTAAAATATTTTTTAAAAACACATTGTCAAACAAGTTTTTTATTTTGAAGAATAGAAAAATGTTTCTAAAATAAGTTGTCAAACTGGTCCAAATTACCATACTAATCCCCTTTCTATATTTTCTCATTAAATAAAAATACTCACACATGTGCCTCTCAAGTTTCCCCACACACACACACATTAAAATGCTTAAATTTACTGATAACGAATTACTTGGACATTGGTTCAGATACTGGTGGACAAGAAAAAAAAAATGCTAAGTTTCGCTTGTTGCTATTGTGTTTGTGCCTCCTGTATAGAATCCAGATGGCAGCATCATGTAAATTTTGAGTAAATGTGTGGTTTAATTATATTCATTACTGTATTGTAAGGTGTGTTTATCATGTATAATAATCACTCCCTCTGATTATAATTAATGAACAATTTTAATCACCTTGGGGGTTATTATAAAATAGTAATTATATCGTTAAACCGGAGGTAGTAAATTAGAAGGAAACCCAAGGTGTGTTGGATCTCATGTCAAATATTGAGATATCAATAATTGCCCGCAACTTTCACCGTTCATAATTTCCCAAAAGTACACTGAAAAAAGAGAGAGCTGAATCATTCCCACAAAATCAGTTGATCGATCTTGGATCTTCATTCACAATGCCCATCGAATGCCACCGATCTTCTCCCTTTCATTCTCTAATTATTGTGTCCCTTTATCTTCACTCCTAAACATCATTTATCATCACTTCGTTTTTTAATCAATTTTTAATTTAATACTATCCATTACTTCAAATTACAAGATACTAGTAGTGTTTTTATACACACACACTCCAAATCAAAAGCTTCAAAGTTCAAAAGCTATATAATATACAAAAGTATATTAATAAAATCGAGATATGTTACTAAAGTTATTATGTGACCAGAATCAAAACAAAATTCTACAGTTTATCTGAAGATTATGCAAATATGGAGAAGGAGAAGGAAAAGGTAGACAGAGAGATCAGTCTCCCAAGCTTCGGAGGCCCTGATTCCCATGGCACCCCCGACATTCCGCAGATTTCTCTCATCTACCTACATGACAGAGCAAGCATTCGGGTTCTCATCGCTGAAGATCTGGGGCGGGTAAGCGTACATCTCCATGATGTACCTCGGAGGGTAGTATTGGTATTCGCTCTTCTTCATCTCCACCACCTTCGTCTCTTCCGTCACAGCTTCCTCCTCTGCTTTCTCCGCCGCCGCTTCCCCCTCTCCAGCTCCTTTCCTCTCCTCCTCCTCCTTCTTCTCTTCTCCTTTTCCTTTTCCCTCCTTCTTCTCTTTCTCTCCTCTGCCTCCTTCCTCTGCTTTCTTCTCCTCCTCCTCTTTGCTTTCCTCTGCTTTCTCTTTCTTCTCCGCCGCCTCTTGCTTCACTATCACAGCCTGCTTCCCCATTCGCTTAGACACGAACTCCACCAACTTCGCCGGATCGAACACTCCCTTCACGCTCACCTCTGACTTCTTCAGATCAGGTTCCGCCGATTCCACTCCTGCGAATTATTTATTTCACTCCATTAGAATGCACCATTGAAGTTGAGGTTGAGGATGAATCGGATTTTTTTTTTTAATGCCGTATTAAATAACTTAAAAACAAAAGAAATGGTCAGAATCAAAATTATTATATTTTAATGCGAGAAAAGAAACGGTAAAGAAGGCTTGAATTGCATGAAGCCGGAGTGTCTGTATTTGGAGGGAGTTGCAGAAAACGTGTAACGCACCCTTCATTTTCTGTATGCGTCTCTTGATTTCCTCAGCGCAAGCCTCGCAATGCATGTGAACTTTCAGAATCACCGTGATGATCTGGGGCTGTAGAATAAAAAAAAAAAAACCAAGAAATCAGAATAAATATTATGAAATTCACTTCATAATTAATATGACAAAAATAAAAACAAAAACAAAATCCGGTTCAACCTCTTCTTTCTTCTCCTCAGGAGCGGGCTTCTCTTTCTCCTCTGGTTTTTTCTCCTCCTCCGTAGGTGGTTTCGGGATCGGAGAAATGAGCTCAACCTGTCTATGGCTCTTCCTCTGTACTCTCTCTAGAACCTTCTGTGGATCTGCCTTCTCTCCTCTGACGACAACCTTGTGACTCTTGCAATCTGTGATCACTTCCTCAACCCCTGAATCCAACAATACATATATCCAGACCAGAACACCAGATAAGCATCCGCTTCACTTGATCAAACAAAAGTTGCAGGAATAATTGATTCAGCTCACCTGGGAATCTTTTCAGGCAGCGACGAACCTTACGGGCACAGCCTTCGCAATGCATGAAAACTTTCAGCACAATCTCCGGCGGCGGTGGAGTCTTGTCTTTCGATTCCTCCGGTTTTTTCTGGTCTTTCTTATCTTCAGCCTGGTTTTCGGGCTTTTTGGCTTCCTCTTTCGCCTCTGGTTTTTTCTCCTCCGTCTTTTGTTCCCCTGACTTCTTCTTATCCTGCACACAGAAAAACAAGAAAAAAAAAAGTAAAAACTAAATCACAGCCCCATAGACAGAATGACTGACAAGAAGAAAGGTATTGAGAGAAGAGAAGAATGTATTGACCTCCCCCATGAGTGGACTTGAGGTTACAGTGGAGATACAGAAACAGAGACGTTGGTATAGATATAGATATATAGCTAGGGAGGCTGATGTATCTGTGAGAAATTAGGCTTCAAGGTGATGATTTAGGGGCGATTCAACTGAGGAAGAAGAATCAGATCTGGAGGGGAGTAGCTGAGTGGGTATGAATCCAATGTATGAGAGTAGCGTCGAGGGTCGTGATGCCTCTTGAGAGAGAGGGGATCTTATAGGAGGCACGTGCAGTGCTGGAGGGACGTTGTTGGGACACATGGTGCCCGCAGGTTACACTGTGTCTTTGCAATTTCCAGGGGCGCTTTCGACATTTCACAGATATCCCGGTAAACTCTTGTCAGTTTTACTATGTGGCCCACTTCCCCCATCAGCACCCACTAATGCGTCATTCATTTCATTCCAGCTTCGCTCATATTCTTCGGGGTAAAAAAACTATACGCATATTCCTCACAACTGCATATAATACCAATGTTTTCGTAAAGTTTATTGACAATTATTGTGAATGTATCCTATAAAATTTAATTGTATTGTGAGATATTTGAGTGCAAGCATTCCTTTGTTCATTTTTTAAACAAAAGAGTATGTAATTATTAACATGGAAAACCTTTTTCATTTTTAAATATTCTCAATCTCAATTTTTGATTCCATATTTATGTGCTATAGTATATGGTGATATATATATGTACAATTTTTTTTTAAAACAACACCATGCATTACAATAAACTTATTTTAAAAAACTTCGCTTATTTTCTTTTGGAGAGAATGACAATAAAGGATCAAAGGAGCATGATAATACCAATAAAAGACCAACAAACTTCAATATGCCAAGGAAGGACAATACGATTCTTAAGTGATCGGAGCTTCAGAGCAAAAATAATAAATTAATCTGACCCCAAATTATTAGTTAATGTATTCAAACTCGCACTAACAATCCAGGAAACAGTTGATGATAGATGCATGCATTTTTTTTTTCTGTTTTTGTGTGTGGCTAAATTCATTGGTTTTAATTAATTAAAGTGAACTTGATTAAATACTGAAACAATTCGAGCAGCTTTTAGTGTTGCGGTAGTTCCTGCTCCTGAAAGGAGAAGAAAGTGTGCCAGAAAATATGTAAATGGCTTTGGTGTTTTGAATCGATCTTGAAAGTCCAATTTGTATCATATTATTGTAGAAACGAGATTTATTTAATACATTCTCAACGCGTGTTTGATTTCTGTTATCAAAAACCTTGTTTCCTTAAAAATAAAAAATAAATAAGTCTTTTGAATTTAAATATTTTTAAAATAGATCTCATTTTTTATTTTTTTTAAATTGAAATCATCTTATAATTACTTTTTTTTAGTATATTACATTTGATAATTAAAAATTGTCGTATGCTATGATCAACCACTATTATAAGTCATCAAATAATACTATTGATGACCGCTAGAATTGGCCCATTTTTTAACTATAAATTTATTTTCAAATGAGCATAATAAAATTTTTTTATTTTGTTTAAAAAATAAATTTTAAAAAGTGATTTACAAAATAACTTTTAGGGAAAAAAATGGAACAAAAATCAGACAAGCCCATACTGTGGAAGTTTTTGTATTATTCACTGATTGACTGAAAGTTAACTTCAATTTCGAATAAATAGTGTATTGGAAACCCATGTTTTTTCTTGATATATTTGGTCATTACCATTTATCCCTCTAGGCAAAGTCATATGTCTCAAGATTTGCAACTGGAAATGTGAAGCTCTTACAATTAATCCCAAGTAAATTTGTATAGCTACTACATTGACAATATAGTATTCCTTTTATTTATTATATGCAACTGTAATAATTTCACATTGAACTTCCAAGTTTTGCAACTGATTATCACGTTTGTACAACTTACCTTTTAAGTTTTGATATGGAACATGGGAAATAAAATTGTAAGTTTAATGATATCTGACTTCCACAAAAAAAAAAAATACAGTCATTTTGTTTGGCCAGTAAATATAAGTCATATGCTCCCAAGTCTAAAATATGATTTTTTTTTTTTTTACATCTTACTTTCCCAGGTTTTAAGTTGCAACATTGAAATTACACTAGTAACAAGGTTACGTTGATTGTAAATTTTGGAAGATAAGCTGAAAATAACTCCTTGCAGTTGCAGATGAGGTGCAAATTACTGAAAGCTAAGACAAGTTGCAATTCAATTCTTGGAAGATGCGTTGTAATTCTACAGCAGATTCGTTGTAAGCTCTTGGAAAATGAGTTATACTCCTAGAAAATGTAAAATTCCTTGCAAATTCTTGAATGTTATAATGTAAATTCCTAAAAGACGAGTTATGTTTTTAAGAAATAAATTATCAATTACTATAAATTAATGAATTACAAGTTCTTGAGAGTTGATTTGTAAATCTCTAAAAGGTAAATGCATGACAGCAGAGTCATATAGGTTACATTGTAACCAAGCAACACGCATGATGTGTGTTTCCTGGTATATTCGTATTCAAATATATTAAGTCTGTTTCCTTGAAAAAATTAAAGTCTTGCAGTATTTTATCAGCAACATAGAAAGTGATATAAGATAATAAATTCCCTCATACCCTACTCTTGACATTCTACAAATCACAGGTGCAAAATATATTTAAGGCTTCATCTTTTCATATAAAGTGACTTATAAAAAAATTATAAATTAATTTTTTCTAGAACGTGACTTACTCCTTCCGTTTTTAAATATAAGAGAAAATATTAAATTTACATAATTTAAAAAAATTAATTAAGTATAATAATTATGCTTAAATTAAAAAATTTAGATTAAATTATTTTTATAATTAATAAAATGAATTTGTCCGATAAAAATAAATATTGACTACTAATTGTTAAAGTTATAATAGTTTCTTCCTTATTAAAAAAAAGGGATGGAATACACATTAAGGGTCGGCGGAAGGACAATTGAGTTACTAGGACAAGAAGCAAATGAGGGCAAAAGAGTCAAAAAGAGAAGTGGAGGAGAAGGGAAGATACATTCCCGGGAAAGAGAAAAGCAGAGGAGATTGGGTTGATCCATGATTGGGTGGGTCCAAAGCAGTAATGAAATTGGAGTTTAGGTGGGGGAATTGTAAATGCGAGGAGATTCATAATTCATTCATTTTTTATTTTTCAACTTTTTTTTTCTTTTTTTCTTTTTTTTGCCAGAATTTATTTTTCAACTGTGTAAGCTAAGTTCTGGCAAAAAAAAAAAAAAAGGAAACTGTGTAAGCTAAGAATCGCTAAAGGAGTGCTCCGGGGGTCCCAATTAACATTGACCGTAGGATTCTTCCTCGGATCAGGAGGCCCCACCCTCAGGGAGGAGGGCCCACTTACCGCCTTATCTCATTCGTTATCATTTGATCGCATCATATCACATCCCTCATCCCGTGACTCCACTCCACATCTTTCCCTCCACACCCTTCTACACCATTCCCCTTCCAGTCCTATTTAATATTTATTAGGTACGAGGAGATGTTTTTTAGTTTTATTTATGAGCTAATTATTAATTTTTTATCATAAATTTTTTATTTTATTCCTATTAAATATTGATGAAAAAAAATATTTTTTAATTTTATTTATAAGACAAATAAAAAAATTAATTTTGATCCTATTTATTTAGTACTTCACTGTTTTTTTATTTTTATCTCTACCTTCTTGCCCTTTTTAAATGCTAAAAGAATTATTAAAAATAATTCCTTATGTTATTATTTGGGGTAAAGATGAAAATTTATTAAATTTTAAGATAAAATTAATGATGTTTAAGGTTTTTTTAAGTGAAATATGTTAAAAATGACTTACAAATAGTATCAGAGAGAATATGTTATTAAAGTATGTATTCCATTCATTTAAAATATAAGATATTTTTAATTGAATTATATTCTCAATAAGTTAATTAATTATCTTTAAATTGACACTGTCTTTCCATGTCTGACCTTATTTAATAAAATGTTTCCCTTAAAGATAAAATGTTGAGTGATTTATTTATTAGGGAGAATTTTAGTTAAAGACCATAGTAGAAACTTAATTTCAGGTGTTTTCAAAAATATTCTAAAATTTTAATTTAGTGTAGGAAAAAAGAGTCAAAAGAATTTTGACAATTAAAAGATCAAAATATCCTTTATTTTTTATGCATAATCACTAGTAATTAATTTTCTTAATTTACTTGTTAATTTACAAATATGAGTTATAAATTACATGAGTTGACATATCAATAATTATATAAGTCTTGACATTAATTGTTCAATCTTAAATAGCAATATCAATTGTTAAATTATCAATTTTATTTATTAATTTTTTTAATATAAGTTATAAATTATTGACATGTCTTGTAATTTATTAATATTAATTGTAAATTATCACAAGTCTTGTAATTTACAACTGATGTTAGTAAATTAATAATAAAGCTAATAAATTAATAACTAATGTTACTGATTGTCTGACAAACGAATATAATTTATAACTGATGTTGATAAATTAATAAGTACAGTAAAAAAATTAATAATTAGTGATTCTATATAACAAGTAAAGGATATTTTAATCTATTTACCATCAAAATTCTTTTAACTTTTCTCCTTTGCATTGAAGTAAAATTTAAAAAAAAAATTTGACCTACTTGAAAGTAAGTCTATACAATGGTCCTTAACTAAAATTCTCCCTATTTATTAAGAATATTTAAAAAAACAAACTTATTAATTACACAAAGAAAAACTAAAAGAAGCCTTCTATTTTTTAATATCAAACCTAAAAAAAAATGGCTTATATTTTTAATGAATGAATATATTTAATAAAGGTAAATTTAAAATTTATTAAATTCTTTAACAGAGTTAACATATTTTAAGGTCTTTCTTTATTTCAATGAGACATGTTGAAAATGCTTTATAAATACTTCTTTCGTCTCAAATTATATAACACTTTTAAAATAGTTTTTTCATTTCAAAATATAAGATATTTTAGATAAATTAATATTTAATTAAATGCACAAGTTTCAATATTACCCGTTCTTTTTTATAATTAATTTTCATCTTTTCTCTTTTTAGTACATTAAATGATAGATATTTTTAAAATTTTATATTTTTATTTTGAAAATATAACATTGTTAGGTATATTTAATGAGATTTATTGTTATATAAAATTTTATTTAAAAGTGTCTTATAATTTGGGACAGAGGGAGTAAGATTAA